AATTAATATATACAAATATCTAAATGCCTAAATGCAAAATTTTTGTTCACAATATACCAAAAAATTCAAAATAAAATAAAAAATAAAAAAATTTAATTTAAAACTTAAAAAATTAAAAATAAGTTCTACATAAATAATAACAATATAGAATTAGTGTCAATAGCAATTCGAATAGTGATGGATGACAGCCTATTTATTATTCACAGTTTCATTTCAGAGAACAGTTAATGAGTGCAGCTACCTAAAAAGTAGACTTATGAGAGACGTGCTTAACATCTGAATGCATCTGAGTTATTTTAAGTGAAATATATTACGGTCGGGGAATATCCGTAAACATAAATCGTAGAATCGTGTTGTATTTTTTGTTTGTTTATTTTTTTTTCGCTGCCCACTCATGAAAATTAATAGACCTATAAATATAGCTCATATATTCATAGCATTTATGCCGCTGGCAATTTAAATGTCGACTCTTGAGCCACATAAATGCCAATTTAGGCATAAGAGTGCGTTATCTATAGTCCGATTTCAATTAAAAGTTCCGCCAGCAACGAAAACTCACAGCTAGATCTAATTGAAGAAGATAATAAAGCTGTCTAAATAAAGCTAAGCTTAAAGAAGAGACGTATACAAATATTACAGCTTAGGCATTATACAATATTTGGAAATGGAAGCAAGATTTTTTCTTATGGAAAATTTTAAGCGAGGTTTTTCTAGTTTTCATTTACTTTTCTTATAAATATTAAAAAAAATTAAATAATTTTTTTTTTTATTTATTTCTAATTTTATTACTATTGATAACTACTTGAAATATGTGTGTCAGTCAATCGATCAATCATTCTACCAATTATTCAAACATAAACGTTAATCAATTAATTTATATTGGTATGCACAGTCATCCAATCAATCTATTAAAAAGCATAAAATTATCCTATAGTTTATAGATCACAAAAACCAGGAACAAACCAGATATGTACATACATATGTATATGTATAAGTCTATCAATCAATCAATATACGTAACACTCATATCAATCAGTTGCTATATATGCTTAACATAGTATATGACTCAGCCCAACACATTAACTGTTAAATAATTTCATAGAGGGTCATAAATATAGCCCCTGACTAAATCGATTATTGATTCAAAAAAAAAAATCTTTTTTTTTTCTCATTAATAATACATTAAACTAAATTGCTTAGAATCTTTTTAAGCTGCTTGAATGTCATTAAATTCCAAGAAATAAATAGAAGGCTTTTCTTTATTCAATTTGTAGGTCAGAATTGTTAGCCTTGGCAGTGACAAAGGCTATCTATTTCATGGCGGCAAAGTTGTCTAGCAGACTACTAAAGACTAAAAGAGTGAAAGGCAGGGAAACAGACGTATAGAGAAAACATAGTTAAAGGGGACAGAGAGAGAGAGAGAGAGAGAGAGAGCGAGACTAGGAAGGTAAAGAAAAGTGGCAAAAGCAATTACCACGTGATCAATTTTTAATAGAACCAAACAAAAGGTAAGAAAACACGTCGAAAGCAAGGTGGCCTGATATGATGTACCAAGTGCCATTACATTGGGCTAGTAGGCGTGGCTGGCAGTGGGTGTGGCACACACTGACCACATGAGTGTGTGCGGAAACACGGCTAACACAGTTTCTGTTTCAGCGCCCTTTTCCGGTTGTGCATTGTGGGTTTTCCGCCAAGAATTTTCTGTGAAACGAATTGTTTGCCAGCCCGACCAGGTGTGAATAGGTGTTGGATTACAATACAGGTGTATGAACATGTCTGTCCATGTGTGTGCACGTGTGTGTGTCGACTTCCGTGCAAGTTCCAGTCTTTTTGTGTTTTGGAAGCGATTAAAACAGGTTGAACTAAGTCCGAATATATTGTACAACATATAGGTCTGACATTTACATGGCTCCCATCAATGTAAATTGTCCAAACGTGTGGATAAAGGGTCTCTCTAATTGGCATCTTGTAGAAGCACACTTAAATGCCAACAACAGATTTCTATAGAAGCAAACACTTCAAGCATTGAGCCGAATCTTGAAAGCCCTTGAGGAACTTAAGGTTAATGCTTACTAGTCTGGTTCTAATATGAAGTTTTTCATACCTTACCTCAATCCCAAATTTGAAGAGTCTAAATTCTAATTAGTATAGACTCCAATTAGCTATTTCTAATTAGCATCAGTCGCACTTTGAAAGCATTTAAGTGAATCGCTTTGCCGTACACAGAAAAGTCAACTATGCAGAAAATAAATGGCAGCTTGTAATATCCTAAGGATAACCTTCTTTTCTAACCCACTCTACGGATTCTAATCCATGTTCTCAGCTCGTTCTGCTACCTGTTGCTAAATGCATTTCCTAGTACTTTTCAATAGCAGAAAACACTCAAAGTCAGGTATGCAACAGCTGCACCCATTTGGCGTATCACATGTCACATTCGAGACACTCGGTCACAGTGAGAGCGCCTGTTCACAGTGACTGTTCACCTACTGCGCCTTTCATCTTCATTAAATGATTGTGGGCGGGGTGAAAATTGCAAAATAAAGGAGCTTAAATTTCAATTGAATGTGGTTTAAGTGCAAGGCAGCGCGTGGCTCGAGAAACGCAACAAATATGAGAACAAGAGGCTGTAAATGTGACGACCGAGTGATACCCTAGAAAATTAGAAATGAAAAAATTCATAGTGAATATAATTCATATCATTTACTATCCCATTATACTGAACTATTGTATTTTAAGTTTGCTTTTTATATTTTTTCATCTTTGTTTTGTATTTTATATTTAATATATCTGAAATACCCTGTATAAAACACAGCTGCAAAATATTTCTTATAAAACATATTATTTTCTATCACTGCTAGTTGTGCATACCCCTTTAAAAATAGTGTAAATTAAAGAGTATATGGACAGCACAATAATGTGATGTTATCGTAGTTATTATAATACGCATACGCCAGGGATGCCAGGGATAGACTGGTACTCCTTACTCTGCCCGCGCTGCTCCGATTATGTATCACTTATATGTATATATGTACAATGTATATGTATGTGTATATGAGTGTTTGTGTGTATCTATATAAATCTATGTTCACTTCATTGTCACTGATTTTTTGCGCTTTTTTATTTTTGTATTCAATAACACTTGAGTTGAATTGAGTTGCAAATGCGAAGAAATCGAGAGAATTTAGACAAGCACAACAAAACTCAGCACACACACCTATGCACACACACACTATGATGTAAATTTGTACAAATTTATCTTTTGTCAGTGCAGAGAATTAGAGCATTCGAGATTTAAGGCTTGAGCTTTCGCTTTTGCCTCGGCTTCTGCTTCTGCTTCTGCCTTTGCTTCATCTTTTGTGCGTTTTGTCAGTCTATAAATAAATGCGAGAATATATTTCGTTGTCAATTTGAGCACATTTTGGTTGGATATTGCGAATTTTCTACGTAGTTAGGTTGATTTTCTTACGCCTCCCATTGATGGGTGATATGACATGTGACTGAATAGGGGACTTGAAACCTTGGAGACACGTGACTCACGAAAAACATTTATTATCAAATTTCTGTTTCTGTATATATATATGTGTATTTATTACAATATACTCTCTCGAGTGAGTATGTTGGTATATTAGTTTTCTACAATTTTCCACTCATTGTCATCAATCTGTTCTTCTCTGAAAAGAAGTTCAAATTAGCTGAAATTTTATTAAATACGCACAAATATATTTCATAGTTTTTTAACTAGGATACTCATCGCAGTCAAGTCACTGGCGACCCCTTCGGCAAATGGACCTTTAAAGTATATGATCTTACAATTGCGTCATAAATCAAATCTTTTTAAAAATTAATTGGTTGGTTCGTCAAATATATTGAAGCTCGTTCGATTCTAAGGCCATTGGCAGGTTTCTATTTATAAATAAACAATAAATAAACAACAAATATATATATACTGGAAAGTTATAAAAATAAAATTATTAAAGTACCTTAAATAACTAGAGCTTGATGAAAACATACAAGAAACTTTTATTGCTATAAATTAAGGGGGAAAAAAATTAAAACACACAAAAGTTGCTTAGCTTTTGTAGCTTCATAAAAAATAGAAAAAGCGTGTTCATAATTTGTTTATAAATTTTGCCAAATTGTTTTGTCAATTGATAAACTAATAGAGAATTATCCAAAAATTCTATTCTTAGAACATGAATAGAATATGAATATGAATATGAATATGAATATGAATATGAATATGAATATGAATATGAATATGAATATGAATATGAATATGAATATGAGTGTGAATATAACGTATGAGTATCCATATATCGATACGATTATGAAGATTAATAAGAATTTTGTTTTGAATGATTATGAATATTAATTTGAAATAAAAATAAAAGTGTTTGAATAAAAAGCATTATTTACAGTTCAATGGCCACAGCTAGGGCTATTATATAGGCAAATGGATAAAGAACGGGTTAGGGAGAGTCCTCCAAGGCGTTCAAGTTCAAGCCGAGCACGGATAGAGAGAGGAAGAGGGCAAGAGGGAAGGTCACATGTCAGAGAGAGACCTGACTGGAAATAGAGAGCGCATCGAGAACATTCAACAGCTTGCATTGAAAGCAGCAATTGAAAGCTCTAATGCTTGATTCAACTTGGCAAACTAGCTTTCAATGCGACTTTCAATCAATCAGAGAGGCAAAACAGCTGCGTAGGCAGACTCGGAGCGTTCTATTGAGCAAGAAGGGGGAGACTACGGAACAGCGCGTAGCATCCGAGATTTATTCAGTGTCCAACTTTTGGCTGAAACGGACGTGCCGCTCNTGGTTCGTCAAATATATTGAAGCTCGTTCGATTCTAAGGCCATTGGCAGGTTTCTATTTATAAATAAACAATAAATAAACAACAAATATATATATACTGGAAAGTTATAAAAATAAAATTATTAAAGTACCTTAAATAACTAGAGCTTGATGAAAACATACAAGAAACTTTTATTGCTATAAATTAAGGGGGAAAAAAATTAAAACACACAAAAGTTGCTTAGCTTTTGTAGCTTCATAAAAAATAGAAAAAGCGTGTTCATAATTTGTTTATAAATTTTGCCAAATTGTTTTGTCAATTGATAAACTAATAGAGAATTATCCAAAAATTCTATTCTTAGAACATGAATAGAATATGAATATGAATATGAATATGAATATGAATATGAATATGAATATGAATATGAATATGAATATGAATATGAATATGAATATGAATATGAGTGTGAATATAACGTATGAGTATCCATATATCGATACGATTATGAAGATTAATAAGAATTTTGTTTTGAATGATTATGAATATTAATTTGAAATAAAAATAAAAGTGTTTGAATAAAAAGCATTATTTACAGTTCAATGGCCACAGCTAGGGCTATTATATAGGCAAATGGATAAAGAACGGGTTAGGGAGAGTCCTCCAAGGCGTTCAAGTTCAAGCCGAGCACGGATAGAGAGAGGAAGAGGGCAAGAGGGAAGGTCACATGTCAGAGAGAGACCTGACTGGAAATAGAGAGCGCATCGAGAACATTCAACAGCTTGCATTGAAAGCAGCAATTGAAAGCTCTAATGCTTGATTCAACTTGGCAAACTAGCTTTCAATGCGACTTTCAATCAATCAGAGAGGCAAAACAGCTGCGTAGGCAGACTCGGAGCGTTCTATTGAGCAAGAAGGGGGAGACTACGGAACAGCGCGTAGCATCCGAGATTTATTCAGTGTCCAACTTTTGGCTGAAACGGACGTGCCGCTCCCGTGCTCTGTGTGTCGCTCTCTACGTCGGTCTTCGGTTTTCGTTTTACGGGTTTGCGAGTTGTGACAAAGAACAAAATAGAGAAAAAAAACAAAATAGCTGAATACAAAATAAAATGTTTAATTAAAAAGTCAAAAGAGAAGCAAACATTGAGAAGCGATAAACAATTAAAAAACTTTCGGAATAAAATAAATTGAAACAATAAAAAGTAATTTAGTGAACAGCCAAAAGTGTTGTAAAGTGCGTAAAGTAGTTGCCTCTTGGGACAGGTATCTGATTTTTGCTAAGCTACCGGCTTATTCTATATTTTATAGGACTATATCCTGGGCACTGCACGCTACATGAATTGCCTAAGTCTAACTAGTGAGTAAGCTTAGTGCTGCCTTAGCTGAGATGCAGAGATTGAGGTTCTCAGTGCAATTTAAAAAAGAGTTAAGTTTATAATTTGTATGAGGTATAGAATTCTATGTACCTCAGTGCTTGGAAGAAGTTCACAAAGAGCAATAATTAATGGATTGTTTTATGAGGCAATGCAATTAGAATTCCAAATAATATATCTGACCGGTTATAAATATATAAACCTCTGATAAATTCTTTTGGTTGCATAGGGATATATGTACATGTATGTCTATTTTTTTATATATGCATAGCTACATATATACCTATAGAGGTGTGCCGAGAGGTATATAATAACATTGCAAATTTTTATAGTCTAGTAATGCAAAAAAAGTAAAATTTACATATGCAAATTTTAAAACGTGTTTAAATACATACTTATAATTTATGTGCACGTTGCTGGTAAAATGTAACCGACCCAATCCATTATACTTAGGCGAGAATATATATTATTCTATCTTTCTATCGTCTTATATGAAATTGATAATTTGTAAATGAATCATATATTTGCTCATTAATTTTTCACATAGTTAACTATGCATAGTTTAGCATCAACAAATGGCAATATTTGCAATATTTTCACGCTTTGCTCAGCTAAATTCATAAAGCCCAGTATCCCTTAGAAATATATATGTATATAATATATGTGCATATTTGTTATAAAGAGTTTACAAAGTGAAGTTAATAGTTGATAGCTATATATATATTTATGTACATATACATATATAAATATACCTTATTACTATGTAAGCTTACTAAACTACTCTTAGCACTCAATCGATGACACATAAGTTATTTAAGCGACCTATAATAGATTCGAGCCAACGCTTTTCTATATATATTTCATATACCATAAAAAAGAGACTTGATAAATGTTAATACAAATAAACTGTTAATGCTAATAAACTGTTGCTAAGCCAATGATTGCCACTTTGTTTAGCCTCAACAAATTTTAAGAATTAGCGGAGTCCACATAGTAGAATAGTAGTTTACCACTTGGCATATACTTCATACCCCAAAATTATATATGACGTTCGTGAAATTTTCACTGATTTTTATTTTTTATCCAAGCTGTTTGACTAAATTTAATTTGTCACAATTTTTTACAATTCTATTGACTGCAGGGTATCTGCAAGTCGTAGCTAATGAGCTTTTATCCTTTATTCAACTCGTTTTATTTATAAGCTGTCTGGCTGAACAGCAAATAATCTATCCAATTTACTGTTATTCTTATACTTCACCCATATCCTTGAAGCTTGTGAAATTTAAAAGTCCATCGCACCTGCAGTACACCTGCCCAAAAGTTTCACGAAAAAGAGAAAATAAAAAAAAACCGATGCCACAAAATTCTTCAGCATTCAATTAACCTCATTGGAAATTTATCAGAGACCAAAGTGTGACAGAATCTCACATAAATATTAATCATATTAATCATATATTCGATTGACCGAGACACACCTTCAATAATTAACTGTATGTACATGTCAATATGTATGTATGTATATGTATATATGCAGTTACCTTTGGCCACGCAAATAAGCAATATATCCAAGCAGATAGAATCATTAAGAAATGACAAAAGTAGACAGCTGAACCTGAAAGTAGGCTACACAAAAATTACCACACACATACACACACTGTCGCCCCCACTCACACACATAGAGAAAGACATCTACTATGACTTAGCATAAACCTATTACAGCACATGCAATTTCAATAAAGTTTCCACAAAACTTTTTGGGTAAGAGTATTAAATAGACAAAACGAATTTTTGGGCTTTTACATCAAATAAAAATTCTCAGAAGTTACACTTTAAGAAAAACGGAGCTCATACTCTGAAATGAGTAAAAGATAATTGTAAATATAATTTAATTCTATAATATATTTGGACTCAAATAGGTTTTATATGTATATACTTATTTCTTTAAGTATTGCCTAACGATTTCCCTATTTAATGTGAAGGGGAAAAAACTAATAAAAATTCAAAAATTAGTAGACAAGTTTTATGAAATAAATATATAAAATATATTCCAGACAATCACCTCTATCTCTCTCTTTGGCTTGCACTTTTTCTCTCTCACTCTCACTTACTCATCTGTCGTCAGTCCATCATCTCTCTTTGCTTCTCTCTCTGGGTCTCTCTTTCGCACTAACTCTCTTTCTCTCTCTCTTTCTGTCTTGCTTCCTTTCTTATCTCTCTACCTGTTTGTATCAGTCATCTGTTTCTACCCTCTTTCCTCTCTACTCTCTATCCTCTCTCTTTCGCTCATTCTCGCTCACTCATATCTCTTCTCTAGCTCTCACACTCTGGCCTTAACTCTTTATGGTCCTTTTGTCACTTTCTCTCTCAGACTCTCTCCTTTCTCTATTAGATCTCCCTTCCTTCTACTTAAAGCCCAGGGTATCTCACAGTCAGCAATGTTTGCTCAACTTAACACCAACTTGTTGTTTGTTGTGCGTGGGCTTATGTCTTACTTGTCTGTCTCTGCGTGCATGTGAGTGTGTGTTTGTGTGTGTGTGAGTGCGTTTGTCTGTGCGTTTCTTGTTATGGGACTTGCTGACAAAACACCTACTTTTATTTCGTTTTCATTTCATTTTCATTTCGTTCTTCCAACTTTGCACGAAAACAACATGAAAAGTTTTCCAGTCGCTGCTCTGAGAATACTTTGCAGACTTTTTTTTTTTTTTTTTTTTGTTGCGTACATTTGGAATTTCATAAATTTTTAACTGATTGCCAAAAGCGCCAAGCGGTTACAACAAATGTCTAAATTTGTTACCTTTTTGTACCCCACTTTATGAAAATTTAAATCTATTCTTAATCAGCAGTAACAGTTGATTTGATAAGGGTAGACAAAACTCAGCTAGTCGCGCTGTCTTAATGCTGTTCACAAATGAGGAAGAAAAGAGAGAAAGCATCATATATATTTTACATTCGAATTAAAGTGACTGGATATCTCCTATTATCTCAGGACTATTCCACGAATTTCTTTACACAAAAATATCCTTAATTATATTCACAGTACCTTCAAAATTTCTTACGCTGTCTCTTATTACCATATCATAATTATAAATGCAGAATAATTAAATGAGAAAATATATTTTAATATTCAAAACCGAAAATGAAATACGTGAAACCATATTCAAATGAAATATATCTACATTATTCTTAGAACTTCCTTAAAATTCAAATTTTCAATAAAATGTAACAAAGTTTACCTAGAAAAATCGTAGAGTGAGGGTATTTCAACTTCAGAGCACAGCAAATAAAAAATTATTTTTGTTTTTGCGGTTCACGTTTTGTGCAAACATCTCTCTGTTTTTGGGTAAATGTCGAAACTTTTTTTGAATCGCAAAGTCATTAAAGCTGCTACATAATTAATACGAAAGAAATTTAGGAAAAGTTAATTTGCATATAATATACGCGCACACACACACACATTTATATTTCAATAAACACATATGAGAGTTGGCTTTATATTTAGCAGCTTATAGCTAGGAGCTCTAATTCGGTGTGTTTGTATGTGTGTGTGTAGGTTTGGGTCATTGGGTCATTCGCTTGCCTGAGCGTCCAACCGGAAGCCCATTTAATATCCCTATCACGGTCCAAGCAGGCGCAGCACCTAATCCCAGGTGTACATGAGTGTGCGTGAATGTGTGTGTAGGTGTTTCTCTGTGTGTGTGTGTGTGTGTGTGCAGTCAGTCAGTTATTTTGCATAATTTGTTGAGCAACCCCTTTGGCAAATTCCAGCCGCCAGCAACCAGGCCACATTTTTAATTACTTCATTTATTTCTGGCCCGGCCGGCTGCTAATTAATCGATTAATCGATTAGTCGATGGTGCACGACTGCATCAGGATTAGTTTTTGGCAAACAACATAATCAACTGAAAATTAATACGCATTACACAAATTGAGTAGCAAACAGCAGCCAAAGCCGAGACGCTACGTGACCGACAACAGACCCAATACAATTATCTACGCGAGCTGCTGGTAACACTAGTCAACAGGGTGCAGACATATGAAAACATGAAAATATGAAGTCGCATTATTATTGACAATATATGTGGATAGATGATCAAATAGATGAACGACTACAGGGATAGATGGAGTATATGTATAGATGAAGGGAAAGTTAGGTGAATAGATGGAATAAGTGGAKAAGTAGATAGATAGATAAGTAGATATTTGGATAGGTGAATAAATGGACAGTTGGAAAGATGAATAGGTGGATAGGTAGATAAATGAATAGATGGACAGTCGGAAAATAAAATATAAAGATAGAAAGTTAGACTGATAGATAGATTACAAGAAATATAGATGATAGATGCATAGATGGATAAATTATATAAGAATTAATAAAGAAATAGATGGATAGATGAATTTATAAATGATAAATGAATACACGGAGACATGGATAAATGGATAGAAAGATGTATAGATAGATGGATGTATACTTAAATGGATATATGGAGAGATAAGTGGTTAAATAAATAGATATGGATAAATTTAGATATGAATGGATAGTAGATAGATAGATGGATACCTGAATGAATCAATTCATTCTATTGATGGATGGAATAATAGAAATGTAGACGATAAAAAAATAATAATAATAATTAGTAATTGGATAACTATTTATTATTTTCTATTATTTAATAACTGACGGATCTGACGAACTATCCGAACACTAAAATTTGTAGGCTAGTCTAATAGAGCTTAAGTGGATGGGCTGCTTTAATAAAAACTTTCAGATCAACTGAGACGTGCTTACACCAAGACAGCAGCCCATATTTGAGTGTGTGTGTGTGTGGGTGCGTGAGGGCGTTTAGTTTTACAAGTATATGTGTGTGTATGTGCATGATGTGTCTAGTGATTTGGCGATTGGAGCTGAGAATCTGCCCCAGGCGTAAATGAATATTGATTCATTGATTTCTAATCAGTTGAGCAACGCGGGTGGTTCATCCATCACAAAGGAACGACACGCTGCGTGCAAAGCACCACCTGCTGTGCCCACCCCGCTCCCTGGCACTAGCCCACTTCTAATTACTGCCGACTATCTTGCTGATTTGTCAACTTATTATTAATCCTGGTCTTTTCCTAGTATTGCGTGAAATGGGCTATGATGATTTGTTGCCTAGATATGATAAATGGAAGGAATAGATGTAGATGCTATAAAAGTTTTATCCTAATGGAAAAATAGTAAATTTCGTATTAAATATTTTGTAAGGTAGATCGAACCACCTCACTTTGAGACTTGCTCTTTTAAGTAAAACTCGAGAACTTTAAAAGCTAGATGAAGCCTATTTAGTATGTGGATTCTTGAAACTCTTATACAAACTTAGAATATTTGATTTCATGAATAGCAACGCCCTATTCAAACGAAATCAGAAATTAAAAACTTGAACTTTTTTGTAGAACAAAAAAGTTGAAAAAGTTTTTGGGTATCTCTTAGTCAGCCACTCCACGCTAGCTCGGTGGTGCTACTTATTTTTGGGAGTCGATTCATGTAACTGTTTTGTGCGTGCCAGCGGATGAACTTGAAGTGACGTACGACTGAATATTTCATTCACTTCAGCAGCAGCAAAGTGAAAGCAACGTGGCGTATGCGTAATGCGTAATGCGAGTGACATTTGAAGTGAACGAAAGGAACGTGCAGAAGCGATAAAATATATAAAAAAAAATAAATAATTAAATATAACAAAAATAATACTAAGGGAGGAAACTTACAGCAAGATGTACAAGAGAAAGGCTTAGGGCAAAGCGCAAACTCGATTTGCAGCAGACGTAAAAAGAAAAAAATCAAATCAGAAATAAGAAAAATACAAATGAATGTGATTTGCGATAATAATTAATAAATAACAATTAATAAATAGCCACAACCAGTTCCAAACAACATTTGTGGTCTTAGGTAATTTCACCAGAGGCGCAAATTAAACTCAATTCAATTCAGTGAACAAAAACCACGCGAGCTAATTTAATTAAAGTCAGCAACGACTTTCGAGGCCAGCTACAGTAAATACAGCAACAACATCAACAACTACATCCACAACAACTTGAGCAAACGTCTGGGCAACGGCTTCAGCGTGGGTCACAGCCAGCGAGCAATTGGAGGCGAATCGAGACGCCGCAGACAGCGTTTCAGGATGCGCATGAAAGTGGGCAAATTCTGCCTGCAGCGCCAGGCATCAGGCCAGAGCGAAAAGTTTCCACTGCCCAGGTGAGTTGAGAAGCCTCAAAACAAGGGACAGAGACAGGGATAGCCACAGTGCAATAAGCACCATCTATGGCGCTGACAAAGAAGTTTGGCAATATAAAACAAAGTTCTCGCAATAAAAAGCTGAGCCGTATTTAGTGACAGCTGTCGTCACCATTTTCTTAAGTTATCGATAAATAATCAAACTTAACTTAAATGTTATAAGAGCCCCATTTATATCAATCTAAAGATATGTAACATATATATCGTGTTTCGCAATGTTTCATATAACTAAATTTGTTGCCCAATCTATACTCTTATATTATCGATGAATACTATAAACTAAGGCTATCTAAAATTTATAAAAGATCAACTTCAGTAAATATAAAATAATCCATATATCATATCATATAGAAATATTGTTTAACCAACCTAAGATTCCTCAAGATGCCTTTAACAACAGATGAAAGACTTATCGATATATCGTTATTTTCGGCTGCATGCCGGATATGTGCTAGTCGATATTTCTCAATAACTTTTTGACTTTCCAATAAGTTATCATGCTCCAAGACTAGGAACTCTCTAGCCACTAAAAACTTCATAATCATGTCAACTGCTTGCAGGGTATCTACTAGTCGCTCAAGCTTCAAGCTATTGAATCCACAAAAAGTTATCTTGGTCTCCAAAGAATTCAAAGCCTAACTTTGAGTTCAGCTGCTGGCAGGGTATCTAGTGCTCGTTCAAGCTCAATCGAACAGCAAACTTATTTTCTATAAATTATTATATGTTTGCACACATAAACAAGCATATACTTGGATATATGTATATAGGTATATATGTATGTATCTATATCCGCACAGGCAGGAGCAACGCACGTGCCTTTGACCCAAGTGGAGAGCGTCGCAAAGCTGAATCCCAACACGAAGTAGAAATAAGAAGAAAATAAAAGAAAAGAAAACATAAACATGCGGCGAGAGTTTCTCGAGGCGGTGGGCGAGCTGAGGCTAACAACTAATTTACCTCAAGTATAATGGCAAAAAGGACATGTGTCACCAAATGTAAAAGGCACTCAGCTCTACAAATAATGTCAAACATTTAATTTCCGTTCGACTGACAAATGCTCTCTGCTCAATTTAATGGGAAATTATTTAAATAATCTGGGCACATCATTGAATTTCAAAGGGCCAGGATATCAGAGCGAGTGGAATATCAGTGTGCCAGGTGGGCTGAATCCAATCCAGCCATCATCAATCAAACACACGATTCCTGCGTGAAATCTGCTCAAGATTAAGCCCCACAGTCACGTTGTCCTGACAACTCTCTAAGCCCAATCTAAAGGAAAAAACGTGTTAAGCAAGAAAATCGAGCTAGAGCTAAATTCTAATTAATTCCGTTGCTATTCGGGTTGCCAGACCAACCACACTACCCACTCACTCTGTCTTTCTCATATACTCCTACTCTCTCTCTCTCTATCGCTCCTTTCTGCTGTCTTCGCTTATCTCGTGTTATTTAGCAATTATTTTTCAATTTACTTTTGTGTGCTTAAGCAGGGCAATATTAATAGGCAAATGGTTGCAGGGGCAGCGCCCGCAGGCGTATGCGTAATATCTAGCTGGAACTCATCACTCATACGCCCCGTCGTGCCTCCATAAAGTCCAGCTGGCGACTTTTTGTCCATTTAATTTTAAATAAGCCATAAGCGTTTGGGCCACCAAAAAACCTAACCAAAATGTGGGTCATCATCACAAAACGCATCACTAAAACTAACAGTATAACAAAGCAAACGAGAACTGAACCGATAAGCAGGCATTACTGACTACTCGATGCTCTGTAAATCCACTTATTTTTATTTCCATTTATTTTTATTTGTCAGAGATCTGTTATTATGGAGCGATAAGCCACAATGTGTACAATGTGTGTATATATAAAAATATATAAGGAGAAAGTCTATTTTATAAATTCCTTTGCCCATTGTTTAGTATTCAATGCAAAAACCCTTTTAACGCATCTCAGCTATAGGGTGTGTCAGTGTTAATGACGACCTACTCTATGCAACAAGGTCAAAAACTAAGCGGCAGAGCAAGCGAAAAATTGTACATTGTCGCCCGGCAGCTTGTTGTGAACACATTAAAAATGAGATTATGAATGTGCCAGAGGTTGTCTCTATGTGTGTGTGTCTGTGAGAGAGAAAGTGCGTCTAGATGTGTGTGTGTGTGTGTGTGTATGTAACTGTGCTGCTTTGTGCGTTGTGTGTGAAAAGTGTAATGGCAAGTGTCATAAACGTTATGCATAATTAAAACATTTAATGCCAAAATTGGGAATTAGAGAATCGCGCCTGACACATCCAGCACAAAGGAAAGGCCAAAGGGCAAAGTGCAAAAAGCAGAGCAAAGCTTGCTGGATGCTGTAGACTTGTACAAAGTCGAAAGTTATTGTGGATGAGAGCTTGTTCGTGGAGGTAAAATTTTGCAAACAATTTAAATTCGAAATATATGTAATTCATAGATAAATTAGATCAAATTACGGCAGGCGCATAAATTAGTATGTGCCGGTTCGGCTTACCTTCAAGGTCATCAGCCCCAAAAGTATGCCAAGGAAAATTAAAATATTAATAGAGACATATTTTTAGCTAGGGATGGGCGAATATGATAGTAAAAAATATATACGATTTATGTATTTTTGTAAATATAATATTATATTGAAGAGTCTCTATAATGCTGTAAGATGTCTTCTATGATTTTTTATGTACATAATTTATAAATCCTATTTAAAAAAAAAAAAAATTTTTTTTAGAAACATAATTATTGTTTATTATACAATTCAAAAACGTAATAAATGTAAAAATAAAAATGAGAAAAATAAAAAACCCAAAAAGAATTGTTTTGAAAATTATTACTATGATATATTATAATAATTCTTTTTTATTTAATTGAATAAAAACTCGAAGATTATATACAATAAAATTGGTTTGTAAAAAAAAAAAAAAAAAAAAAAAAAAAAAACTTAAAATATTTTACTAAATATAAAAACTCGAAGATTATATACAACAAAATTGTTTGAATATAAATGAATAAATAAATATTAAGCAATTCATTTACAAAATATAACTTTAAAAAAATCATATGCAAATAAATTTTTTTTTTTGCGCATTCATTTTACTTACATTAGTTTTTGCTATTTATAATATTCATTTATTTACCATATATTATATAATTACATACCTAAAAGATATACTATAATTGGATTTACATATAATAGGATTGTGTGTATATGAGACTCTTCGTACCCAGTAGTAGCAACAATTCTCACAAGTTCGTCAAAATGAATGAGTATATTATTTAAATTGCATATGAGACTCGCAAATCGTTTTTATTTATTTTTTCTTTAATTATGACAAGCATTTCCAACTAACCGAGAGAAATAGCCACTTGGTATGCCAATATGAGAAGAGCAATAAAAATATAATGCATTTACACACAGTTCCTAGCATAGTAGATATATATAGCTATATAAACATATATATGTATATTTATATATATAGGTGATACGTGGGTGTATGAAGTCGTTAGGAACACGTAGATAGAAACGCAGGAAGAGGAACTTTTTGATTGAATTGTTTGTAGAGCGTGCGCGTATTTCAATTAATTAACCAGACTTCTCTCTCACTGACAGTCGCTCTCGCTCTCCCAAGTTCCGTCGCTCTTTTTCTAAATGGCACACTCTGTATTTTTTTTTGTTACTGGAAATTTACGTCTGTCAAGCAATTTAACATGCTTATCAGGTCTCGGCCATTGTTGCCGGTAGCTAATATAAAAATAACTTCATATGTCTTCACACCTCCCCACCCCACACACGCACACCACACCTGTGCCTGCTCACCTCGGCACCCCTAACCTCTTAATGTTTTATTGAATGCACACTCTCCCATATCCACCACTCATATTTTAACCTCAAAACTCAATTTCTTTTACACACCAAAAAAAAACTGTTAAAAAGTTAATGAAGTGTGCTTCAGATTGAAAGCGACCCCAAAAAGATCTTCTCCCTAAGCAACACGTTGCTAAAAGCCCACAAAGTTCTCTCGAATATATTCTGCTCGACTTTCTAATCAAACTGGCGGCAATATAAACCATATTAACGCATTTTTACTGCATATTATATATATTATATATATGAATATTCTCGAATGTCTGACCAAAATTAGGTTCGTTTAGCTAAAATGGTGTCGCTGTCTGAAACAAAAGTCAATTTACTTAAAAGTGCACGTGATTATTCAATTCGGGAGAGCACACCAAGTTGAGAAACTAAAGAAAGAAATATATATTAAGAGATATAGCAATAAAAAATATAAGTTTATATATACATATATGTCTGTTCTAATAATTTTCGATTTTTGTGAAATTATGTTATACAACCCTAACGATTTCTGCAGTTGCTGAACTTATTGCTTTATCCTAATCTTTTTT